AGGAAAAGATTAGGCGCCATTTAATTTATATTTTAATTTTTAAGAAACTATAAATAAAAATTAATAATAATAATGACAGTCGGTCAAAGGAAAAGATTAGGTGACATTTAATTTAATTCACATATTAGCATTAATAATTAAAAATGTTTTTTTTACATTGTAACAATTATTTTATAAAATACTAAAATAAAAATAATATGAAATTTTTGTAATTACAATTGAAATATATTAATTAAAAAATAAATTTAACACTTTCTTAAATAATTCATACTTCTTAAATTCTTTATTAAATATGTAAAAATAAAAAATTATAACAAACATGTAGCACAATAATTTTTTTTTACAAAGAACGTATTTAAATTTAATGGATACACAATTCATATAGTTCATTTCGAATTTTAATAGAATTAACTTTAAAGTAATCGATGTTACAAAAATTAATCTATATTTCAAAGTGATATCTTAATTTGTTAAAAGTAAATAAAATATTAAATGGGGGTAGCTAAGTTAGTAGCAAGAGAGCTTAGTAAGTACCCAATGGGTGCAGCTCAGTTGGTAATTTGGCGCTGAGTTAGTGGGGTTAGATATGTGTTCGATTCCTGCTGAATGCATTCTTGGGGAGGGGGCTGAACCTTTAGCCATCACTGCTCCCCCGCACTCCGGATTAGTCCCATAGCCGGCTCAAAGAGTCGAAGCTCGTGGGGATACCGGAGGGAGCCAACTCGCCTCAAAGAGGTAATTAGGGTTGGGTAACTCCAAAAAAAAAAAGAGCTTAGTAAGTTGAAAAGAAAGGGTTTCGGTTGGATCCTCATATGCCATCTTTGGGAGAGACTTAAATATGTTTATTCCTGACCCGCTCCACACTCCAAATTAGTCTCATAGCTGACATAAAGAGTTGAAGTTTGTGGGGATTCTGGGGTGCCAACTCGCTTTAAAGAGGTAATTAGGGTTGGGTAACTCCAAAAAACCCGCACTCCGGATTAGTCTTATAGTCGGCTCAAAGAGTCGAAGCTTGTAGGGATACTGGAAGAGCCACCTCGTCTCAAAAAGATAATTAAGGTTGGGTAACTCTGAAAAAAGTAAAAATAAATTATTTTTAATTATATATATATATATATATATATATATATATATCTTTTGTGAGATTCACAGTCAAAAATAATTTTATTAACAAGAAATTTTTTAAAAAATCATCTCTTAAAATTAATCCTATTCACCACAAAATTAATTTTAAAAACTCAAAATATAACCGATCTGGACCTTATACTTGCGAGATGAGGACCCAATATAGGAAGGACCCACTCTAGGAACGTCCCAAAAGGGTCTAAATGTCATAGTTTAACCATGAAGCATACACGTACATCCCCCGTACAAGCCGCAGACATCTTACAATCTCTAAGTGGCAACCACTTGCCAGGATGCACAAGCAAATTGGACTTAGCGAGATCAGTTGCTCAGAGTCACTTGACCACCACATGAAATCAATGACTAAATTACGATACCATCGCTACAACCTCTACAAAAGTCTAGCTCATTTATAGGCATCTCACCCATAATATAGCCTGAGAAGGGCCACCACACTCCACCAATGGAAATGAACACCGCCATACCAAAGCCGCATAAGTAATGCATACCTCCACTATAAATACAGAGGTATTCAGATCATTTATCCTTGAATACTTAAACTATTTGAATACTAAATTGACTCGAGGGTCAGAGTATCTTGCTGGTACACTCCAATCTCCTATGACTATTTAGACAGCAAACATACCGGAACAGTGACTATTTTGCCACGCTTGACAAAATAATTTACCAAACTGCCACGCCAATAGTAAATTTTGTCAAAATGTCACGTGGCATATTTCGCTACACTGTGTAGCAAAATATGTTTGTAAATAATTCACTACACAGTGTAGCGAATTATACCATGTAAGGCTGCACAGTTAGCAAAAATGACACATGTCAAGCAGGCAGAAATTCGCTCAACTGTGTAGCGAATTATGCTTGGATTCTGTCTGTTTGACACGTGTCATTTTTGCTGACTGTGCATCCTGACATGACATATTTCGCTATACTATGTAGCGAATTACTTGCAAACATATTTCGCTACACAGTGTAGCGAAATATGCCGCGTGATATTTTGACAAAATTTACTATTGACGTGGCAGTCTGGTAAATTTTTTTTCCAGGTGTAACAAAATGGTCACTCTTCCAAACATACCAACCCAATTACCTCACCAATGTGTTAAGGCCTTCTCGCCAACAACTTGTCATCTCGGTGAACATTATCTTCATCAACATCCTCCACCTCATCAATATCCTCTACTTCAACTGTATATGATCTAGTCTAGCACAATCGTTGTAAGAAACCAAAAAAAAGCATGTAATTATAGGAACGAATATAAAATAATATTTGATAATAATTTAAAATACTATAACCGTTGGGTACACCAACTAACTTTTGAAATTTATAATATATTTGATTTAATATAATCATGTGAGAATATCTTAATTAATTGTAGAGAAATTAATGATCAAGAGAGCTGAGGGAAGAAAAATATTAGATAAAAAGTGATAAAAATATAACCAGTGATTAGGAGTGACAATTTGTGCGAACAAGTTGCATGCGTGTTGGGTTGAAGTCCAACATGAATAATTTTTTTTAACAAAACCTTTGAACCCAAGTATGATTCGTAAGATTTGTTAATTGACAAGATATGATATAACATGAATAACTTGTGTATTAAATGTTGTTTTCATCAATATTGTAATGACACAGCACGAAAAAATTGAAAGAAAATTAATAAGGGTTAATTTCGTGTTTGCAGGTTAACATATAATATAACAAAAATTTTATAATAATTTTTTTTTATTGTATGAGTATTATATCAGCAGTAATGTTAAAAATTGTTACGCCAACCATTGCTTTTTCTACAAATAATTAAAATCTTCTCCTACTACCAAAGTTATGTTAAAGGGCACTATTTTTCTAATTTGAGAGAAGTTTTTTTTCCAACACTAATAAGAAACATGAAGCCCACAAATTAAAGAAAAATATAAAAGAAAAAAAAACATAGGTACGTGTTTCTATGTCTTTGTGACATAAGTTTATTCTCAAGAAAACAATTTCCCTATATTAAACCATACATAAAAGAATGAGTTACATTACTCTCATGTAATAGAAAATATGTTATCTTATATAATAAATACAATCATGTGATGGGTCTTATTATTTATTAAAAAAAAACACATGAATCGATAGATTTGTAGGAAGTTATATTATTCTAGTGCAACTTGAGACAAATATAACCCTAAGGGCCCATTTGTTACATGAAATTATTCAGGAATTCTTGGAAAATGGGATTGGAAATTTTATTTTCCCATATTTGGTACAAGAAAAAAAAAAAATTTGTTAGGAAAAATGACCTGTTTGATTGTGTTCTGATTTTTTTGTTCTTAAAACTGTTTTGTAGAATAATTATGAAAACAGTTGTTTTCTGTATTTTTTTTGTTTTGAAAGTTAAAAACAAAAACAGAAAACAAAAACAACTCAGACATGTTCTCTAAACTTGATTCTAAAAACAAAAAAATAGTTACAGTTTTTATTTTTTATTTTTTTAAAAACAGGCTTACCAAACAAGTTTTTTTGCTTTTTTTGTTCTGAAAATTAAAAAACTGTTTTTAAAAACAGAAATCTAACAAAGTCTTTATTTCCAGAATTTGATTTTACAATACTGATTCCTATTTCAAAATACCATCAAGACATAGTATTTTTTTTCACATGCGATGGGAAAGCAGTCAAACAATTTTCAGACTATTATACCTTCGTGAGCCCTAGCTTATCAGCTATGTGGAAAATTGGATTTGTTGTGTTAAATACATAGTTGCTCTGGAATGAATTCAGATATCAAAGCTTCTGATGCCACAATTGAGTTACTATGCAAAGGCTGACTAGAAGAAATCAATTCAATAGTTTTTACAGATGGAGTTTATTTCTTGAGTCTTTATATCATGGGACTGCAGTTTATTCTCCTTGCCAATATACTCACTATTGCCTATAGCACCAATAGAAGCAAGATGAAGATCGATATTGGAAGAGGTCGCCAAGGAAATAGTTCATTGTTGAGCAACCGTGTATTTTTTATTTTTATTTTTGTTACTAATAGTGTTTCTAAAGAGATGTGTTATAAGGTTAATTTTGTAAATTCGTTTAATATTTTATCATCAACTAAACATATACTAAGAAAATTTAACTAACATTTTAAGTAATAATTTGACTTACCAAATAACTTTTTCATAACATTCTCAAAAAAATAATTTTTTCACTATATTTTCAGTAATTGCTATTCAAAGTAAAAAAAAAATTAAAAATTTATCGTGTAACAAGCATCCCTTAGGTAGTGTTTAGTTTGAGAGAAATTTTTTTTTACTAGGGAAATGTAATTGATAAGAAAATGGTTGGAAAGTGAGTTTGGTAGGAAAATATAAAAAAAGTTGTTTGGTTGACCCAAATATTACCAGGGAAATTTATTTAAATATGCAAAATCTATGTTCAGAAGAAACTTTGCACCTGTTTTTTCACTTCTTCAGTTATCTCAAAATACCACATCTCAAGTGGTATTCTGTAACAGTGAATTTCATCCAAAAATTAACACAAAAGTCATATTCCCATCTATCCTATTTGCCTGGTATTTTTTGGAAAAATCTGAACCAAACGTGATATTTTCCAATATCCACTTACACTTTTCTATCAATCCGAAAATAAACCTTCAACCAAAACGCTGCTGATCTATTTCACCGAAATTTGAGTTTAGTCAATTTTTGGAAAAAGGGGCAGCGTTGATCACGTGAAGGCGTGTGGGCTACGGCGGCGTCATTCTCACGCGACGTTAGAAAAATAAACGGAATAAATGCATTGACTTTTTTGCAGTCGCAGTGACAATTAAAGTAAAACAATAAAAAAACATAAAAACAACAACGTCGGGAATCAATGATCGAATCAGGACCGTACGTTACGATGGAAGAAGCAGTACATAGAATGGAAGAAGCTTCGTTTGCCCACACCCACAAACACAACGCAGAGGCAAAAAAAAGTGCTTATCCAACTCGGAAGCACTGAGCTGACTCGGAGCGAGTGAAGCGCGTGACTCGGAGGAGAGAGAGAGAGAGAGAGACCATGTCTGGTATTGCTCGTGGACGCCTTACGGAGGAGCGCAAATCGTGGCGGAAGAACCATCCCCATGTTCGTACTACTTCTACTCTTTCGTGCTTCTGTACTGATTCGTTCCTTCTTCTGGATTCGTTCAATTCTGATCGGTGTTTTTTTTATTATTATTCTGTGATTTAGGGTTTTGTTGCGAAGCCGGAGACGCTGCCCGATGGTACGGTGAATTTGATGGTGTGGCATTGCACTATTCCCGGAAAGGCTGGGGTGCGTTCTTGTTTTATCTGTTTTCTGTTTGCTGATTATGAATGAAATTCACCGAGTTTTGTGTTTTTCCTGGATCCTTTGATTTTTTGATTATGTATGGTCGTTTTTCAATTGCGACTCGTCGTTCATCAGTGGTGGACTTGGGTTAAATGGAATTTATTTTATGGTTTTAGATTTCCTTCTTGGGTAAAATTGAATTATTATTATTATTAATTTTTTTTTGTGTGGGAAGAGTATTGCCCTTTCTCCCACTTTTATGCTAAGATTTTCAATTGGCTAAGTAGTTGTGTGAAAACTGGGAATTTCTTTCTATGGTTTTAGATTTGCCTTTAGTTGAGGGAATACCTCTTTCTCTTCAACACATGCTTGCACAAATACAAGTTGTTCAGTGTAGATACCTGAACGATTTGAATCTATTCTTCTGGTTCTTCTCATATGGTGGGTGATAGTGGTGTGGTGCACTGCTGGCTACTCCAATGACAAAATGGGGTTGTGCCTGTGCGTGTGTGGTGCTCCGCCGGATAATCTGATGACAAAATGGGGATAGTGTACCTTTTCATACTCCAAAGCTCAAGTGAGTAACAGACTAGGCTGAAGAATGCAATTAGGGTTATATGTCTAGATGAGGGTGGTGGAGACCTTATAATTATAACAATGTGGAGGGAATGATCCGTTGCCATGATTGTGGGATCGTGGAGATTTCCTAGAAGATCCTTGGTGATGATTCTGATAGGGTGGGACCAAGGGTATTCAGCTAGTTGGTGGGCCTAGCATACTGGTCTGGAACATGAGTGATAGTGGAAAACATTGCATGCAATCACACACAATTTAACTTTGTTACGTCCTTGGAAAAGAAGAGTCTACCATCCAATCTCCTCTATCCCACAATTCCTCACCATTATCCTTACTTCTCTACTAGGCTTTCAGTCTACCCCGGCTTATGGCTCAAACAATTCCCCAATAGAAGTACTTGCTTGACAAGCAATTACCCCTCTTATGACTTTCCTAGTTTCTTATTAAAAACAAACATCTCTCATATCTTGCATATCTGTCACATATCTTTCTTATTTATCACATTTCTTGATATCATTACAAGATATGAATTAGGAATTTGGGTCAAACCCAACACTTGTTGACTCCCACTGTTGTAGACACAGTTTTTCATGTGCTCATTCTTTTACTGGTGGCATTATGTGTTAATGTCTCTCCTTGGTTGTCCTTCTGCCTCTTATCTTTTGGGATGTTATTGGAAGAATTTTGAAATCAAAATTTTGTTTATCCACTGAAAAATAAGAAAATAGGATGCTAATATTAGAAGAAGCCGGTAAATTGGCGCTAGGCGTTTTAACCTCTTGAGGAGAGAGACGCCAAAAAGTGTGTGCCTCATTAGAAGTAGAAAACAGTAAATATTTAACCATTTTGCATTAATTTGGCATATTCATTAACTAATCAAGCATAACTTTCTTAATAGTAAAAATAAAAATTTCTTGCTGCATTAACTGACTAGTTACTTTTTTTATCATTCTGACTATTTTACCCCTTTAGCATCAAAGTTACCAAGTTAGGTGGCTAAAGTTTTTTTTTTCTGGTCTTTTACAATTATCTAATGTTGTGCCCCTGAACCCGAAAGGTGTGCCTAAGGCACAAGCACCAGAGGCGTGTCTTACTGAAGGGGAACCACCCCAATAATCAGCGGTGTTGATCCCTTCTGGCTCCTTTGACTACTACACTGGATCAATTGAACTTAAAATTTAATTGATCCACTAAAGAGGCGAGATTTTGGGTTTGATGGTCGGGTTTTTGGATAAGTTGGACAAATAATCAACTAGGAATTTAATGGCGTGAATTCTTGATGATGCCTGCCAATGCCAAATAACTTAGGTCTTGTGGTACGGTAGAAAAATTAAATGAAATGAAGCAGATTTGAGAAGATAAACTAGGCATCATATCTAATGTGTGATTGCATCAAACAATCAAGAACAAAGCAACATGCCTCTATAATTCCTAAACCTGATCTTCTCCTAAAATCAATCATTAAAACTACTTAAATGGACCTCCTATAACTTATTTATAAGGATAGAGAGTAGAGTGTTGATTCATTGAGGATTGAGACTCCCCATTACCACTAAACGCACAAAGGAACTTTACATTATAAGAAAACCTATTGACACCTAAGAAACCTGAGCTAGTTACAACTCAAGACCAAGAAATACCAAAGTTACTAAAGTGAAAACATATGCTAGTGCATCCCGGGTCAAGTACTCTTTTCTTTATTTCAGATACTAGTTCTTACTGGGGAAACTCATAAGTCATAAATAGTATAATGGTTACTCTGTAGAAAATTGTAAGAAAACTGGATTGAATTCGGGAAATAGCTTCTTTGCAAATATACAAGTGATAGCTATGTACAAAGATTACCCTCATCCCTACCTTACTAGTTGGGTTTAATGGGGAGTGGTTTTGGTTTTCATTAGGTTATACATTTAAGCAATGAATTCACAAAATCAACAATATGTGCAAATGAAGATTTTGGTATGATGAGATTCGTACACCAGGACATCTGGTTTGGAAGTGAAAAAAAAATCCATCAAAGCGCGCAATAACATTGTCTTTTTTCGATCATTTGCATTTGACATAGGTAAGGATGTAGAAACTACTTGAATATTTTATCCTTGAAAGCTTTTTATAAATGAATCATATTTTGCTTTCTGACTTCATGCCTTGGTTGAATTTGCAAATGAATAAAGCGGCTTGTTGAATAGTGAGTCAGTCATTTACTTCATATTAATTTTACATATCATTTGCTGCAGACTGATTGGGAGGGTGGCTACTTCCCACTTACACTGCACTTTAGTGAAGACTACCCTAGCAAGCCTCCAAAGTGTAAATTTCCACAAGGTTTCTTCCACCCTAATGTCTATCCATCAGGAACTGTTTGCTTGTCTATACTTAATGAGGATAGCGTAAGCACATCTCTCTTGATAATTACATGGCTGCTTGAAAGTTGAAACTGATTTATATAGTGTGATTTTATATGCTGAGCAAACAGATTATAGGTTCATTGTTACATGTAGGGGTGGAGACCAGCCATAACAGTGAAGCAAATTCTTGTGGGCATACAAGACTTGCTTGACCAGCCAAATCCTGCTGATCCTGCCCAGACAGAAGGCTATCATCTATTCATCCAGGTACTTAACCTAAGAAATCCAACATTTTTCATTTATAATAGTCACTCTCAAAGTGTAAAGCTTGTCTGATTTTATATAATCAAGGCAAAGTTTTAGGGAGTAATATGCTTTTCAAAGTGCCCATGCTCCATATATCAGCCCTCTTTCCTGAGGATTGTCAATGTTTGCTCACATGCTTGAATGTTGGGTCTTTGAACATGGTGTATTATGAATACGTCCTGAGAAATGGTTCTGATGTGTAATTTTATGGTTACCTCTTTTTTTCTAGGTAGGTGAAATAGGGATTTTAATTTCTTATCATCAAAGGTATGTCTTTACTCTTTACATTTTGATACTTTTTACAGGATACAGCAGAGTATAAGAAAAGGGTTCGGCTGCAGGCAAAGCAATACCCACCTCTTCTCTAGTGCCATATCAGCTCACTTTAGAAACTATTTTTAGTATGGTAGAATGTTGTTTGCTCTTGTTCTGTGTTGAAAGTTAAAACTTTCCTGTCATCTGTGATTGTTGGCTGCCATAATATGCAGTCATCAATATTTTAACCATCTATGCTTACTGTCACATCTGGATGAAGTGTTAATATGTAAACAATGTGAAAGTCAACCAATGAATACTTGTTGGTGACACATGTTGTTCTTGATGTTCGCTGCTACATTTCTATATGAATGGATAATTACTGTAATTAAATTACGTGACTGGTTTCTCTGGAACTGTTCGTTTCTGGATTTGTTGTTTCCTTTCTGGAGATCATGCATAGACCCCTATTGGCCATTTGTTTTGCATGTCACTGGACAACTTTACCCATGTGCCATGGCTGCATAAAGTATCGTTGAAACGTTTGCTACTTTAAATGTGCTTCAGTGACATTCGCTGACTGATGCTTAATTGACCCAAGAAAAATATATTTGGGGGGTGGGAGGAAATGACTAATCTCAATACTAAAAGCTTCGGATTTTGCATCCTTTACATGATAGACGTGGTGAAGTGCCCCCAGCATCATGTTACATATGGTAGTAAATGTCCCTCTTGGTGAGATGTATGGCTGTTCGTTACAGTCAACCTTTTGTACTGTTGAGATGGTGGTAAGGAAAGGAAAAATGACAATTACCCTCGTTTAGATGAACTTCAATAAGGTGGTGTTTGGTTGGGAGTTTTTCAGCGGATATCTATCTTTCTCAAGTATGGCTTTTAAAAACATCATGTTTGTTTTAACTTTTTTCACCAAAAATCTATCTATCCAATTTGTCTGGATTTATGAGAAACAGATATTCACACTGTTTAGAAACCCAATTTGAAGGTGGGATTTTTCGAAAAACCGGTTATTTGGCTTTTAATGCACTGTTGATTTCATAATGTTATCTAATTTTTTCAGTAAAGTTTTTTCCCATCAAACAACTTTTTTTTACATTTTTCTACTTATCTCACTTTATCTATCTTTTCAATCATTTCTCTATCTATTTCATTTTTCTACTGTTCCAAAAATTTTTCCTAACCAAATTGGAAAAGGAGGATGGATTCGTCCTGCTTTCCCTTTCAAAACCCAAGAATTCTTCCCCCAAAACGGAGGGATTAGAGTTTGTTTATATAATTATTATTATTATCCAGATTGGAACTTCTCAAGGAGAGCAAGCTTGTTGTATAAGATACTTGTTTAGACATTTGTGGAAACTAGATTATAAATTGACACATCAACGTCTTGTACATATATTTAATGCAAAGTAACGATACGTCAATGTGTAATTGGTTTTGCCTATATAATTTGCGTAAACTAAGAATTTCTCTGAATAAAGAGGTAAAGGGAGGATTTATTTTTCAAATTAAATATTATTTAATTACTTATACTACTTCTGTTGTACCGTTGAAAATAGTTGTATCGAAAATTTTATTTTGTACTTTTAACATTTTCTGTTTCTTTTTTATTTCCCGACGTCCTGTGCATGTATTCAAGTGCGTTGATGTAATCTTGCATAACTTTTCTCCCGTACTCAAATAAGTGCTGCATGAGCATAAGTTTTTCATTGTACTATAAACAATAATAAAAGAAAATGTATTCCCGCTATAACTTTATACCTTGGACATCCCAATAAAAAATTTGTATAAATATGTTATGATTATACTTCAATGTAGGAGACTTGAAGTTCTCTATTGGAAATATAAGATTATGATGTGGAGTTTATATGGACTTTGGACTTTCCAACCTCAAGGGTTGTGGAGCATAGTGAAATGCTACGATTCTATTCCTAGTTATGACACTTGGAATCCCACTTTAAAAATATAAAGTTTTAGTGTGGAGTTTATATAAATTTTGGGCTCTCCTACCTTCTGTCTTGAAAAACATGGGGGGAGGATTATTTTTTACTTTAAGACTTTAAGTACATATTTTTTAAAATAAAAATCATAAAAACCTTAAATTATTTTTTAATTATCTTTATAAATGTGATATTATTTTTTTAATTTAGTATTTTTTTTTTATTTTTCCATCAATTCCTCTGTAACTCAATTAATTTATTTTGAATTGCTTGATTTTGATAATCATTTATTCGGCACCTTCCGAAAAGCAAACAGTTTATGGCTGACCAAATATTAAGTATGAGTTTATTGTTTCTCATGTTGTAATAGATAAATTTATCTCATACACACATAAATATGTGTGAGGCTCACATAGTTTTTTGGTACAATAGGTTCATATTATCTCCTACAACATGAAAAACACAAAACCCATTAAGTATCATTATTTAATTATTACATTGATTTTTTTTTATTGCTGGTAAGGGTGTAAATGAGGCAGACCAAGCCAAGCTTTAGCCTAAAATTGGGCTAGGCTTGTATAAATTATTTAAAAACTGACTTGACTTGTTAGCCTTATACAAGCCAAATTATATGTCTGGCCTGACTAGCTTTTCAAAATTACAAGGCTTAACCGGACTTGTTAAACCTATCAAGCCTTCAAAATGGCATATTATACTACGTAAAATATAGGTTATGATTATTTGTTTCTTTTGTATGTTTAAATGGAATATATTTCTTTTCTATGCACATAACAACCCAAAAAATTAACAATTTATCTATGTTAGAAATCAAAAACAAAAAATGGCAAGGAAGTAGAATGCTTAATTACATTATATATATCTATATATATATATATATATATATATATATATATTTATAGAGAGAGAGAGAAAGAGAGAGAGAGAGATAGAATCCTTTGACACCAGTGTTAAATTTTGAATTTTGACACTAAATCCTAATTGTTGATTTCCGCCAATCAACGATTATCATTTTTTGGAAATTAATAATTAATTAATATGTTTGATTCTCAATAAATGATATCCGTAGATTGGCGGAAATCAACGGTTAGGATTTGGTATCAAATTTTAAAGTTTGACACCGATTTCAAAGAATCCTGCCATATATATATATATATATATATATATATTCACTCACTCATGAATTAAAAAATTCCACTAAAAAAAATGATAGTCATGATGATGACAAAAGCCAAAAGTTAAACACAATAAATTGTTAAACAACATCATCAAAACTTTATTAAGAGATTTAGATTTTGTTGACTCTTGCACTTCATCCACACCACCAAAAGATTATAATTGCAATTCACATGTCTTGATCAATTAAGGCACCTTCATATGAACAAATTGATAGCATGTGATGTTGACTCATCCTGCATAGGAAAGTCTTGAGAGTCGATGGTAAGCGAAAAATGGTTTGGAAGGGATGAAAAGTTAAGAAAGGGGTAGAAGAGTAGCAAAATTTGACGAAGGAAAGGAGGGAAAAAAGCGGTGACGACGAAAAAATTTAGGGTTAAGAAAATATATGTTTGCTAAGTGAGAAGAGCGAAGATTGCGAAAATTAAAAAATTAAAAATATCATAAGATATTAATTTATTAAAATATTATAAGATATTATTGTATTAAAATAAAATAAATATTCTTTATTAAAAATACAAGACGAGCCTAAAGGCCAAGTTTGCTAAAATCGGCTTGTGGCCTGATTTCTAAGCAAGCCTTTTAATGAGCCCAAGCCTATAATATTTTTAAAACGGGCCAAGTTAAACCAGGTGAAGCTGTAGGCCTATGACAAGCTGCCTGACTCATTTACACCCCTAGTTGCTGGTCATAATTACAAAACTAATTTTGAGATTCGGCAAAATATAAAAAGATCATTTAGAAATTGTAACGCCCCGTGTGCACTCGGTGTATTAACATTAATTATGGCATTAAGCTCAGCTAGCTTATTTAATTAATACAACGAAAAAACGAATAAACTTTTTCTTTAACAATATTAAGCCTATTCATTCTCATTCGTATCTAATTCCTTAGTCAATTGTTCACTTTACTAGATATGGTTAATTTTCTTTTTAGGATTAAAGGCCATTGAACTATCTTTACATGATTTCAAACCTCACTCAATTCGAAGCTCTCTAGCTTAAGATATACGTGTTTGATTGCGCTATGTGAAAGTGCTGCTAGACCACTACTCGCTGTAGCGAGCAAGTCAGCGAGTAAAAAAGCTCTGGAGGCCAAAAATGATAGCTTCCTTGCTGCAAATTGGTCCCCAAAACTTCTCCAAGTGTGCAAGGCTTCACCTAGAAGTCATTCAATCCACTTTTAAGCATAATATACCCAAACCTATCCATTTTAATTCAACATACATAATATGCAATATCCTTATATGCATACACATAATAATCTTGGCATCTAGCCATTACATCATTTCAAATAACTAATACTTCATGGATATCTCTTAGGCTTCAAGCCATCAACATATTACAACTTATCTCATGACATACATATCACCAAATTAACATAATCAATGTTTACAATATGTTCTCCAAGAATATAACAATTGTACATAATTCCATCTTTTCCTATGTGTCACAGTGTTAGGGATTACAAAATGGCATACAAAGCCCTTCAAAATACATAATAGACATGCAATGATCCAATTACTCAAACGATTGATTACCTATACAAAACGGTAATCATATATGCATTAACTTTTCCAAAATCATACATGCCTTATATTTGACCTTTCCTTTTGACCTAGTTACAAACATGACCATATACAATAGATCAACTGAATATTTCAAAATGAAGTCATAATATGTTCCTAAGTCAAAAGGAAATCAAAACCATAATGTCATGTTATCTATCCCTACTCCAGCCTCTTACCACAGGAAACCTCATGTGTACCACTTGGTGTACCTGAATATAATTCCCCACACAGGGTGATATACCATCTCAATAAACTCAGGGTCCTCAGAGACTTCTCCACCCATGATCTTACTTTCATGATATATAGGCATTAAAACAACATTATGCATCATATTTTCATATTAATCAGTGTATATACCAATAATTAATACACGAGTCATTATGTTGACCAACTTGCCAACATATACGAATGCAACTCATATGGCCCTTACGATTGAAGTCCCAATGGGCTCTTGCTCTCAGGTGTTAACCATAAGGAGTTTTCTCCATGCAACTTTAGCTCTAAGGGAAGGCCATATTTATTCTACTGGCCAGAGTGTAACGCCCCGTTTGCAACCGGTTAATTAACATGAAATATGGTATTTAAAGCGCATCTTACTAAAATAAAGTAGTTATTAAACAAAAAGTATCACTAGTCTTTATATAATTAAGTGACTGAACTTTTTCCTTTTATTTTTCTTACGTATATCCA